CTGGTGTCGGTGAGCAAAGGCGTTAAGTTGAATTTGGATTCTCATCACGTTGTTTCTTAGAACATCGAAGTGTAGGGCCGTACTTTTCGGGTGTAATAAAATTTCAGTTTTCATTAATACACGATACATTTCATAATTAATGTATTTGTGAAAACACAGGTTGTGTAGAAGTCGATATGTAACAAAATAAGTTTAGTTTCACTATGTCCGGCCATTGACCTAACATTTTCTTACATAATGTGCTTAACAGACCAAACTTGGTGTAACATGTTTTATTAATAATAATATTACATGGGCGTATGGCGTGCTTACATGGATTTAATAAGCCTGTCATTAATTTAAAGTTAGCGATAGTTTATGTTCTCTAAATGGCATTCGAATACTTTATACCACGTTGGTACGTTGGTATTACCAACGTCAAAGGTGAGGGAAACGGACGGGAGGGAAAACAAAAGGAAAAGGAAATTTGAACAGAAGAGCTAAGATGGGAAGGAATTGATTTAAAATATTTACGTAAATCACGCGAAATTTTTTATAACATTAATAAATAATGAATGAATGTAATAAATTATAATAGAGAAAAAATTAAATGAAATGGACCAAGTCATGATTCCTTAGTACCCACTAAAGATAGAGGCATGACTTGGTCAATTTCAATGGTAATATTTTGCAAAATGTAACTAGATGTCAAAATAATAGTTTGAATAAGGTCAGAACAAATATACCCATGTCAAAAATTAGAGAGTGAAGTTAGAATTTGCCATTTAATAATCTCAGTACAGAGTACTAAAAAAACCGACCACAAAAGTACGTGGAATTACTTATAATCACCATGTTTTATTGAAATCGGTTACCGGGTAGTGCGCAAACCCGGATTCATCTCCTAGTTCGCCACTAAAATATAATAAAAATCGGTTCTCACTTCCCAAAGTATATTTAGAGAGAAAAACACCTTGAATTGGAGAATAGCAAAATCAACCATTAAAATAATTGCTTCTTATAATAAAATTTGGCGCTATTTATAAAAATGAATCTTCATGCATGCAGCCTCTCTTAGAAGTGTATGATTTTCTTCAAAATTAAATGGGACCACTATGGAGATACCCTCTTCCAACAAAAAATCATGAAAATCGGTTCACAAATACCGGAGTTATCGCGTAACATACATACAAAAAAACGTACAGTCGAATTGAGAACCTCCTCCTTTTTTTTAAGTCGGTTAAAAATTTGGACACTATTAAGTACATTTTATTACTCAATAAGTTGTTTAATAGCTTTTTAAATAGTATTCACATGAGCTGTTGGTACGTCATAAAACCGTGGCTTCGGAATGCCTATGCCAACTGTACGTAGTGTCATGTGCATTGATAAGATTATTCGTAGCGATATTAAATTTCAGCTTCCGTCTGAAATAATAGATTAAATCATAAAAAGTTACGTAAAATAGGTTATTGAAAATGAAACTTTTCTTTGGTTATGAAATCGCGAATATTTGTTTCTTCAAACATACTGACGATTCGGGCTCTTGACAAGTCTCGTTAGTTTGTTTGATAAATGCAGCAACTATGTAGGTTTACATGAATCAAGAGGTGACTTACCTGTCATTACGTATACATTTTTCTTGTGCAAATAACATATTTATGTTTGTACCACTTCCCCAGATAAGAAGTCCATAGCGTGATATGCAGAGAACGTGGTTGTCATATTAGTCGTTGTTTATTTACTTTTTAAATAGTATTCACATGAGTTGTTGATACTTCATAGAACTGTGGCAAACTGTACGTAGTGTCATTAGCATTTATAAGATTATTCATAGCGATATTAAATTTCAGCTTCCGTCGGAAATAATAGATTAAATCATTGAAAATGAAACTATTCTTCGAATTTGAAATCGCAAATTTTGTTTTTTTCATTCATGCTAACGATTCAGGCTCTTGACTTAATCCCTTTAATTAGTTTGTATGATAAATGTAGCAACTTTGAAAATCTGACAACTCGACTATAGGTAATAAATTATTTTATAGCAAAAATCTAATGGGTCAAATGTTATAAGCAGTGTTCGGAAATTCGGATGCTTATTTATTTACCTACAATTTGGTGCTCGCTAAATATGGGATGCGCGTTGGAATCGTAAAAATTGTCGAAAATATTCAGTAAAGTATATAATTGAAGAAAAATAAACGCTTAAAAAGTTATTTGTGATGTTATGTAACAAATAAATTATTTTTTGTCATATTTAGAAAGTTGAAAATGTAAAAAAATAAGAAAAAAATTCAATTAGGAAACTAACGTGAGGCTCAGACATCCGAGTAATTCGCGTGTTTATATAAAAATTGTAACATGTCACACCATTCTGACGTTCCGGGATTCAAAAGAAGAGAAAATAAAAAAATATGTTTTTAAGAAGCCGCTTTTTACTTTCATAGCGAATCACGGGAAACAGTGGACTTTTGGTATAAAAGCATCCGAATTTCCGACCACTGGTTATAAGATTATAGCAAATTTTTCTGGGGATTTTTGATTGTAATTATGCTACGTGTGGTGGTTACTTTTTGATATTCCTATGTATGTGTGTATATTATAATAGTAAGTGACGGGAGGAACAAGTCGTGTGCCTAGTGGTTAGCGAATGGTTGGCGACACGCCTGTCCCTAACAGTTCGCCCAGGGAAGTACTGCCACTATACCTATTTCTGCCGCCAAGCAGCTGCTTACTGCGTTCCGGTTTAGAAGAGTGATAAAGCTCTGAATGGCACTGAAACTGTTATGGATTAGCTTGTCGCTTTCCACCAGGCGTACGACTTGTTCGTCCCGACAATTAGTAATTATATTTATAATTTTTATAATTTTGTAGCTCATTTATGTGGCAGGAAAGACAACTTGTATGGAACTTGTCAGTAACAAAATGTTCCACCATAACTGGCGAAACATTTGGCACATAAACAACTGATTTTAATTTTACATAGCTCTGTAATAAACGTAGTGTGAAAAAATTATCTAATTTGTTGTGTTGAAAATCTCGAATGTACCTTTGTTTAACAAAACAAAACATGGACCTTGATCTATAATAATTTTGAGCATACATTTATTTAATCACTTGACTGTTTATTATTTATTTCAAGGACATTGTACGCATCTGTAAAAACCACGTGTCGAATAGAACAGTGCAGACTAGTTCACCGTCTTGACCGAAATGCGAGTTGGGGATGAATTTCACATGGTTGAGAAAAAATAAGCCATGAACCTGTATGCGTTAGTAGCAGTAGCGCTCCGTGTGAAACAGTTCATCCATGGTAGTACCGCCACCTTGCCTATTTCTGCCGCCAAGCAGTAATGTCAGTAATACTGCGTTCCGATTTTGAATGGTAAGGGTGCTGGTGAAATTACAGGCACATGGGACTTGTCAACTTATGTCTCAGGGTGACAGGCGCAGTAGCAGTGCCCCTCAAATCTTTACGACTTAAAGCTCTGAGTGGCACTGCAAGCTGTCTGCAAGCAAGCAAGTGCTGCAAGTGGGCTGCTGCCCAAAATCGTGGGCAGAGAGGGCGCATTTGGAATTTGTTCTTAATTCCATATTTATTACAAATTTCGACGTAAAAAATCTTTTTAGACGGAAAGGAGGCAACTCCACACAATACCTACCTTGCAATCATGCGAATTCTCCATACTAAGGATTACATCAATTGTTCTCGATTACAACAATTAATTAGTTGTAAATAGTTTTTCTTCTCGATTTTGGGCATTAATGGTTTTTAAGCCGATTTAAATTCAAGGGTCGGCGGACTAAAGCAAATAAGTGAAAATCCAACATCATTCATTTAAATTAATACATCTACCGGCTAAAGCACATAAGCCAAATTCATTTGTTACTCCACAAATTTGTAACTTTATTCTAGAGGCGTCTTTTTCAAATTTATCATTCTTTTCACATCTTCCAACACAAAAACATAAAAAAAATAATAATTATATATTAACAAATGACGCACTTTTTTGACGTATGTGCTTTAGTCCGCTGATCCTAGAATTAAGCGCTGGATTAAATAAAACCCGGGCCCTTGCCCGTCTCTGCTCAAACCAGAATAAATAAAAAAAATCATTTCCCAAATTGGTTCTACCGGGAATCTGACCCGGAACCTCCACATCCAACGCCGTTTGACTACCGAAGCCGTCACGGTTTGAGGGCATGAAATGTACTATATTTTTATCACAATTAGCTTAACTATCTGTCATTAAATTGTACCTATAGTATGTTATTTCCATGTCTTAAAAGATATACAAACCGAACGATGAATTTCGATACCAGAAGTATCAATTAACGTAAAGGACATTTTGTCGAAAATGAGTTATATAATATCATTGGATTCGGAAGTTCCCGCTCTATCGATTGGTATTATTAAAATTTAGGAGTGCCCAGTGGTTTAAAATATAGCATGTCCCTTACATTAAAAAACATTAAAAAAAGATGTTTAGATGTGCCTTGCGTTAGTAATATTTTATGTGTAAACAGTCGAGTTTCTATTTCTCTTCCTGCTTACACTATGTGTAATAGAAAATTATACGTAATTCTATTCTGCGCTCGTAACAAAATATCTATGCGTACTTTATACAGCAGTTGTGCCTTTTTACGTTCCGAGGGCAGTATTGTAAAGGATCCTTTACAATCTCTTCCTGCTTATACTATACTCGATGGTTTACACATGAAATATTAGTAACGTAAGGCACAACTAAACATCTCTTTTTAATGTAAGGGACATGCTATATTTTAAACCACTGAGCATTCCTAAATCTTTCGTTTATAACATGAAAGAAGAGGAAACTCTAAGAAACTTTGCTCTAAACACAATCAAAATTGGAGCAGACAGTAAAAAGTTATAGACAGATAAAAAAAAAATCGCTTTTTGACTCCTGAAATACCGTGGTTTGTCCCTTGCATTAATTGATAGTTTTGGTATCGATTTATCTTTATACGTGTTGCTCATACGATATCTTTTTATTTGCCAGTGTACGGAACGTTGCTGGAGGATGACCTGCGTGGTGACACATCTGGAAACTTCAAGAGGCTCATGACGTCATTGTGCATGGTAACGTAATTCCCATATAATAATTTAAATCAACATTAATTCTTACCTGTTTTTAAATACAGATCATAAGTTACAGACCACGTAATAAAATAGCCACTCCAATGAGTTTTATTACGTGGTCTGTAATTGTTGGTGGTAGGTAATTATTGTACCTAGTCTCAAATTAGGAAATCATTGTACTATGAGTACCAGAGCAACATTATTAACTCCTCAGAAGTCCCAGACCAGGGCCAATGAAGAAAAGACAAAAAAAGACTTTGTTGGATAATGCGTATTATTCCACTGAAGAATATAGGGACATGGTCGTGTAATATATGTTGTAATTTATAGAGTATTAGGTATAAATATTATTTTACAGAAATGAATAAATTACATAAACTTTATGCATACAATCATTATATTGACATAATTATTATTATATTATTTAATATGTTCCTACATTATTTCACATAACTACATTAACTGTGTTAAAATTACGTAGTACAAAACTTGTACTGGATATTTGTAATTTTTTGAAATGTAGTATTTATTACTATTTGTAAAGCCTAAAGATAATAAATAAATCTAAATTTAAAGATCTTTTCCCACCGGGACCTCTTCATCTGGCGACCACAGTGGCAATCGCTAGGCCTCAGAAGTCGTCAATATATCAACATATATTTTTTTTTTATAACATCAAGTGGCGGGACGAACAAGTCGTGCGCCTGATGGTAAGCTACACGCTTGACCAAAACAGTTACAGTGCCACTCAGAGCTTTAAGTTGCAAAGATCTGAGGGGCACTACCGCTGCGACCGTCACCCTGAGACATAAGTTGAGAAGTCCATTGTGCTTGTAATTTCACTAGCACCCTTTCCCTTTAAAACCGGAACACAGTAATGCTGACATTACTGCATGGCGGCAGAAATAGGTAAGGTGGCAGTACTACTTGGACGAACTCTTTCACAAGAAGCTCTACTGCTACTAAAATAAAATAGAAATATGAGAATAGGAAAATATGATCTATGCATTACTTATGGTAGGTCAATGCATCTATGTTTGTACATATATGCTATAGGTGTTGACCGATAAGAATATGCACTGTTATTGCTTTAATGTGCCAACGACTGCATAAATGTATGGACTTCAACAGGGATTATAAATCAGTTTTTATCAACATTGTGAGAATGTTTTATGACCAATATTATAATGCCAATATTTTTTTATACGACGTACTATCACATATATATTATATATATAATAGGTTTGTTTGCTATATATAATTATGATTATATATTTATTACATTTCGTCGCCATAGTTTCTCAAACTCGTATCTTGTAAAGAGTGATAATTCAGGAGATGGTAAATTTTCTATTTATTTTAAATTTCTTATCGCGGGGGTTAATTTTGATGCATTACTTTAAGAATAGGTGAAAGACAGTGTGTTAATATGAAGGAAGTATGATGTAAAATCAGCCTGCAAAATTTGTATATACAATACATTTTTTGCATTTCAGTAACTTTGTGCCTTAACATACGAATTTGAGAAAGTAAGGCAACGATTTATGTTGTTAATGCATTATTAATTTAATATTTTGTTTAATTTACCGCATTCGTGAATTTCGTTATCCTCAAAGGTGGACTGGTAGATAATGCTTTTAGCATTAAATCCGCCTTTTGTGTTGTGGTCAATAAAGTTTAATAAATAAATACTACAACATATCTATTTTATAGCATTACAGTTTTCCTGAAATATATTGTAGGCCTGTGCCACCTACCTGGTTAAAGGATATACGTTTTTAGATTCATGTGCTTGTGTTAGCTCTCTCATCCAATCAATTACACCAGTACCAATAAGTACTAATCACTTTGTTATTAATTTCAGGGTAACAGATCTGAAGATTTCCACGTGAACCAAGAGAAAGCGAGGGAAGACGCCAGGAGTCTTCTCCAAGCTGGTATGTCTTCCAGTTATTATGATTCCCACGACTTTAATTTATATTGCTGATTGTTATGATCGCTGCTTGTCAATGTTTTTTTGTACAATCTAATGACGTCACGGTAGTGTCACTTGAACCTTTAAAACTTTTAAATAGATTCTATCAATCATCCGACCCGAGTTAGCTACAACGCCATGTTATGGCATCAAACCGATAAACAACTTTGTTTATGAATTAGTAGATACAAGAATGTAGACTTATTTTAAGGTTGGTCAAAATTCAAACTTTTTTATTTAATTGTGTATTTGGATGCATGTCGTCCACAATAATACCTAATATAAGGGCGGTCCTTCCTATCCCCTGAACAGAGCTGGGGCCACACTCGTGTCAGCAGACGTCTCTGATGTCCCACAGAAACGGGCATAAATAATAACCTCTTATGAAAATGTAAAGTCAGTTAAGATAACCGAATGCATACTAAAGTTTGTAACTGTATAGACACAGAACCAAAATTCTTTGCGAAATAAAATATTATGAATCACTACTTGTGGCGCACAATTTACTGGTGACGTCATTCATTGGACAGCTCTGCTGAAAAGTGACGGAGCTATTGACTTTGATCATTATTGTATTTGGCGTTACTCATGAGTGAGTCAAATGCCCTATTATGAGTTATAGACTTTTCCCTTTCTAAATAGCTACTCCACTCAGAAATGACTCGTTACTCAAGTTTACTTTCTATATGATTTCAACAGAACACCGTTCGTGAGTAATGTACTTTTTTTTTCAATTGAATAAATATTTCGCAACGTAACGAAACACCTAATAATGGTTGGAACACGTTCAAATACACGAGTGACTTCATGGTAAAATTGACATGAATAGTTTTGTGACGAATACATTATAACATATTCAGTTGTTTTATGATAAAAAAAAATATCGTCCCGTTTCAAGAATAGTGGCCTAAACAAAAAATACTTATTTTTTTACTTATTTATTGCTTTATTTATACATTCAGTAAAAAAGTGTAACGTAACCATAGATTTAATATATGTATGTACTAAATCTATGAACGTAACAGTATGCATCACGGCGTTACAGCAATTAAAAGCAAAAAGAAACATGAATTAAAGTAAAAAAAGACAAAAATAAAACAACGTTACTAATCTTATGTCGCACGACGTTTTTATACGTGACACGGCTTCATTACTCTACAAAATCTGCGGATATTGTGGAGTCATCGAGTATATAACCAGAAATAGACACGAAATAAGGCCATCCATCTCTGGCAACTCATCAGTCAAATGGTACTGATATCACTTTTAAATATCAGCGCCAACAACTGATATGTGTGTACGTCTCCGTATATTCCAAAATTATTCTGTATTTATTGTAATAAAGGTAATACCTCCAACTATGGGGGGCTTTTCCATTCGGTGGTGTGGGAAAAACAGCTAAACATCTAATTACAAAAAAAAAAAGGAATCCCATTTCATCGGTAATTAAATATAAAATTATGTAATTTTTCAATTATCGTCCATTAAAACAAGCTCAAGTTAAACTGGTCGATTTGAAGTGAAACAATAGTCGACACCCGTAATTGTTTCGAATTCGGGCTGGCGAATCGGAGCGCAATTGTCGCCGTAATGATATGGCACAATTTTAATTCATTTGTGGTGAAAGTACTAATATAACATTTATTGACCTTCATGAAGGAGGAGTTTTTGCCGAAGAGTGTCGTGTATCGATGTTTCTAAGGTCGATTACCGGACACCCAAGTTAGGTCTCACGTCGCAGTCCATAGCATACGTGTAAATAAATAAATATATAGTGTTTTATTATATTGTTATACTATATATGTATGTATGTCAGTCCTTAAGGCATATATTATATGGGTCATATTGCCTGAATTAAATTACTAAATAAAGTTACAGGCGTTGCATATTACAATTAACCGCTCCGTAGCCGAACGGTTATCATGCTGGACTGCCACGCAGAGGTTTCGGGTTCGATTCCTGGGCCGGGAGAAATATTTGTATGGCCCAAATATATTTGTCTCGTAAGTTTGGGTGTAATTTGTGATCGTCTATGTGTGTGTCCATGGCTCCCGCGATACAGGGTTTCCCTAGTGTGGGACTATGAGTGTGTGTGTTATTATTGTTTATTATTAATTCTTCAAAATATTTCCTCGCAGGTGAGCTGCGCCTTGGCACAGACGAATCGACGTTCAACGCAGTACTATGCTCACGTTCGTTCACGCAGCTTGCGGCCGTCTTCCAGGAATACCAATTCCTTACTGGACACGATATTGATGACGCCATCAAGGCAGAGTTCTCCGGGGATATGGAGAAGGCTTTCAGAGCTATCGGTAAAGGGATTTTTCTCTATCAATTCATATCATAAACTGAAAAAAAAAAATGGTTAAAAGACAAATTGAGCCTTAGAGGTATTCCTGCCACACATTCACGTAATTATACCTAACTTAAAAATTAAAGACGTAGGTGTGTTTTGCTACAGGGTTTCAAATCGTCAGAACTCTCAATTTAAAAACCATAAAAAAACAATGGAAGTGTCTTAAGTCTCGAACTACTCACAGAAACGCTATCGCCAAAACTCACACAATCATTTGTGAAACACTATTATGATTGGTCGTAGTTTCTAATTTAAAAAAGGTGTAACAAATTCTGTACTGTTAATGTAATTTAAACTTTAGGATTGTTGGCATATCGTTGAAAGTTCAATATCTGTTATTGCAAGTTACGACGTTGCAATTTCCATCAACGTTTTGCCATCTAGCGGTCAATAGCTGAACGACGACGAATTCAAGATGTTCGAGGCTTAAGGTTTTTTATTACGATAAACATTTATTTAAATAAAATAAGACTTAACAATGATATGATACACCACCATGGATAATATTACAGATGCGAGTATCACTTTTGCACTCCTAAGTAGCAAAATAAGGCATTTTTTACGACTTTCGAATTTTTGCTCGAGAAAATTGACACGACTATAACGTACAAAACGAAAATGGCGGACAGAGCTCAAGTATGTGGAACTCCATGTACTGTTGGCACATGTGTCACGCCCACTAAGTACTTCTACTGTATTTATTGTTCTGTGTTAGAAACAATGTTCTCTTACTGGGCAATAGGCAATGTTCTAATACTGCTCACAAGTAAATAACTAACAAAAAAAACATTAATTTACAGTGAAAGTGGTCCGCAATAAGCCACTGTACTTCGCGGAGCGCCTCCACAAATCGATGAAGGGACTCGGTACCAACGATCGGCAGCTCATCCGCATTATGGTGACGCGCTGCGAGGTCGACCTTGGGGACATCAGTGACATGTTCCAGTCGAAATACGGCGAAACGCTACAGAGCTGGATTGAGGTAAGTTCATTTTTGAACGGGTTATTATTATGTCCCACTGTAATGCTTGGTGACGACTTCACACATGATGACGCGAAATGATGCTTCACGGCTAAACAAGTGAAGACTGGGTGATTTAAGCGTCAGTGATAATCGAACACTGGACCTGCGTGGGATGGAAATGTTCTTTCAACTAGGCTTTCGTATTATTTCTTCCGATTAAATTTTTAATAAGTAGAACAGTCGATATCAATATCATATAGTATAGTCATCACTAAACCGTCTATGGTCAGGTCAGTGACCTGTTTGTTTATTTTTCCCGTATAATGGATTGAAACGCAGTAGTATAGAGTCATAGACACAGTAATACACATACAGGATAATATATATCAATAGTAATAGAATACAAAGTATCAAAACACTTTGTTGAAACTTCTTACGTCACTTACATAGTGTTCAACATAACATAGATATTGAAAGATTCTACGAACGAAATTGGTCGATAACTTTTTATGCTTAAATAGTTTCACATATCGCACTGCTAACTGCTATTACAAACTATTGCTGGGGTAAAATTAAATTCTCGGCACATCAATACGATTTATTCCCACCTGATCCCCAAAACTTTTCCACCGCCAATTTAAAATTGCAACTGATCCCCTCTTTATTTTGCAACTCCCAACGGATCCCCTCGTTGTAATTGTAAGATAAGTACAGTCAAGAGAAAAAGAAGTTTTCAAATCAAATATTCGTTTATTGAGGAATTATGATCAAATGTAACATTATCATATTTTATTTTATTTTTTATTATCATAGACAATATTTTTTTAAATTTCGTTATATTATTAACATAGACAATATTTTTTTTGTGACAGGTCATTAATATTGCAAATCACAAGTAACATAAATCAGTCTTGACAATATTTAAAATCTAGTTTAATGTTTTGATTATCACATATAATATACATGTTCTTGTTGACTGTACCACAGTACCTACCAAAAATAAACTAGGAAGTACCAGGGAATCAGGTGGGAATAAAATATTAATATTTATTCTTGAATTTGCATTGGGGATCCGATGGGAATAGAAAATAATTTAAAATAAAACTGATCCCGGGGTTGGTTTTAGGGTATCAGATGGGAATAGTAATTAGAATATTGTGAGAAACAATTAAAAGACATCTACTTAATTCAAAATGAGACAAACTTTTTGTCAGTTCTTGACAAAACATTCCTTACATATTTGGCAAGCAGGAAATTGTTTAGAAGACTGTAATAAACTTTAACCTAATACTTAATTTTAATTATCTTTCACGGGAAGTAGGTAATTCGTTTGTCATCAATTCTGAAGGAAAGACATTTTTTAAGTTAATACACTATTTAATATAACAGTGCTATAGTGTTTCATTTAATTTTTAGGAGTTTCAATTAATAAAAGCGTTTTGATATATCACATGTGACTTTATTATACAAAAGGTGTGGTATTAAGCAGTAACAGTTTTTGTATCTTAATGCGGACTATAATTATCCTTTTTTTTCCAGGGCGACTGCTCCGGCCACTACAAGAAGTGTTTACTGGGCCTACTGGGTCTATATTAATACGACTAATACACGGGTCAAATCCACATAAGGTTAAGTCTCATTTGTAACGTTTAAAGTGCTATTATCTTCTAAATATTAAGGTCGGTTTCAAGTGTCTTCTTTTCAATTACTTCAATTCTACTGTTTGTTAAGTCTATGGTTCGATTATAATCTGTCTTTTTTGAAGACGTAGAAAAATGACATTTGTAGTGTTGCCAGGTTTATAAAATTTTAAATAATTATGTGGTTGTTGTCGATAGTTTTGTCGATAGATTGTGAAAGAAGATAAAATTTTGCCAAAAATGACTGAATTGTGAATGTTACGACGCTCTAATGATTACTAATTGCATTATTGCCCTCTTTATACCAATTTTGACAGTTGACCCACTAGTATCGAGATAAATTTTTATTCACATACATTTTAACAAAAACAGGCGGATATGATTATCTATATTGAATTAAAATTAAAAACTTTAAAATACGTCTCCACTTTATATTTTTCATAAACATAATTCTAAATACAGTGTACGTATCTATGTGTGAACTTACGAAAATTGACAATTCAAATGAATTTGGGCTCAGTAATTGGGTGAATAATGAGGACGATTCAAATGAAACAAGTTCGGCTATTTATTCCATAAGCGTGACCAATAATATTCAGTCGATAGTCGATAAAATATTTATCGACTGCAACCACTAGCTGCTTGCAAGCGGACAACATTTTTGCGCAATGAACTGTCATTTTACTCCGTTTTCAAAAATGTCAGACTATATAGAATATTTGATTGGAACCTGCATTGTAGAGAAAATATTACAGAGGAAATGGGATCATCGTCCTTTTTTCAAGTATTTCCTCCCATCCATCCCACCTATAAGGACTGGCAGAAGATCCTTTTTTCAAGTCGATAAAAAAGGGTTCTGTCAATTATACCGTCCTCATTATCTGATTACAAGGAAAATCTTAGAATAGTATTGAAACAATTATTTCTCGAAAAGCTTTTGATCTCTTTTACAGACAATTTTCATAAAATATAGTAAGGGGAGCGCAGGTCTTACTATGATTAATTTTATTAATAATTAATATGAAATTAAATACGCGCACAAGGAAGAATGCACATGTAAGTAAAATTAAATTTCTAAAGAATAAACGTATTAAAACTATCAACGCTTTTGAAACGTGCAGTTCTGAGGCCTGTGTTCACCATCACTATATTATTCTATTAAATTGTTCCAGCTTGCGCAGTATATTGCATCCTCTGAATTTTAAAATTTAAAAGTCCAATGCAATCTTTGTTATGTTAAGGCGGTGTTTGGATAGTTTTATGCATTATGCATACATAATTTATGACAACAATTAATTAATCAAAATACAAACAATTTCTTACACGAAACAACACGAAAACATTTCAGAATTAAATACGGAAATGAGAATGAAAAAAAAAAGTATATTTATATATATATATTTATATATTATTATTTATTTATATATATGTATATAAATTTGATATTAAAAATGTTGCTTCATCGAGATTTTGCACGGAATTTTGTATTTTGTTCAACTGGTGATGAATAGCGGCCTACTCAAAAGCATCAACTTCATGAGGAAGATGGTTTACAAAAAACTGAAACGTGTCTGCTGCGATAAGTTGACGAATCGTAGACCACTCCCATGTTGTCATGTGATTGATTATTCTAACGGAAAGCTTGAAGTCTCGCTAAGTAAATCTCAGTAATAAATAAGTCAAAAATGATCAATTTTGGATTGGGCCACTGTTCTTGAAAAGCAGCGAATGGTTTCTCAGGATTTTATATTGTCGATTGCATTCTGATCAATTCATAATAAGCTAAACTTAGCTCCACACCTATCGGAATTAAACCACGCAATTTTGGCGTTTTTCATTTCTTGTAATTAGAGACCGCAATATAAATTTGTGTATAACGGCCTCTTAGTACTATAGAAAAAAAAAAAGAAAAATTGAGTTGCTGTATTTTGGTTAACTAGCTACTTTCGGTATAAGATATGTGCCTTTTAAAATTGTCTATGCTTTTATGTGCCTTACCTACCACTGATAACTAATTATATACACAAATAATAACTTCTATAATTTGTGCGTTATATGTAAATTTTTTACAAAATAAAAAATTGGGACATATAATTTCATCTGTAAAAAATTGGTAGTTCAATTTGCCTCTATAAAGACTAGGCTAATTATTTACAGTATTTATTCTTCTATTTATTATCGTAACAAAAGAGGTCTAGAAGTAAGATCGACTGAGTTTTTGTATGTCTAATAAAACCACCATTTCAATTATCTATAATATGTAATAAATATTGCATTTCAATACATTTACATACCTACATTTAGTTAGTAATACTTACAGACGCCCTTGGTACTGTACATTTTCATTGTTTTAAATAATAATTCATATATATTTATAATTAAGGATTTTTAAATTTTTTTCTGCATGTTCTTTCATTTAAAATATTTCAACTTCTTTGCACTGTAATGTAAAGTTGTGCATTTAAAAATGTTATATAACAACTTCAAATTAGAGCTTATAGAAGCTTTGCAGTGGCGCAGCAGTCGCTTTAGTAATTTTTAGTTTTTTCTTTAGCAACCGTGTTACGGTTGTGGCGCTGCAACTGCGCTTTGTTTTATAATACCAAGTGACGGTAGTTTGTTTAAAATATATTGCATGAAAATTAGTAGTGGCGCCGCTGTAGCAATAAGCGTCTAATTTGAAGGCCCCTAATAGTTGCTAAATTAAAGAATCTCAAGAGTACCTTAGTACGTCCGTTATCTCGAAACACACGCGCGAGTCGTTTCCTACTACAGATCCTATTCTAATTATCGAGAGTTTATTTACAAGAAATTAGTGTCTAATATGCTTTATGTGTTTATATGGCATCGAAGTTATAAGGAATATTTAATATATTGTTATTAATTATACAAACTAATTATAATATCTATGTGGCCAACGAGTTTATGTGTTATACGAAAAATATACACTTAAAAAGTACTATATTGCTGTCTCAGAAATAAAGTGTTCGTATTTAAGGATTTGTTTCATTTATTTTGACGGTGAGTTCAATGCAAATTATCATGGTGTTTAGTGCGGCCATTGAACTATACTCAGATACCTGAATATCACATTGCGGTACAGCTTTGCCCAGGGTGTCTAAATTTAAATATTTGGATCATTAGGTCGTAGAAGATCTCAATGACAATTGCGACATAGAAAGGGGGCGCAGGTCGCTGACCATTGGGTGCAATAGTGCTGCAGATTTGCACGTTGCACTAAAGAGGTAAAAATTACGCTATTGTAAGCATACTGTTAAGTGCTGTACACACGGGGCTTGTGGGTCGCTCATTCGCGGCGGACATTTAGCGACCTACGTGTCCAATATAATAACGCATTCAGGGTGCTGATGGGGTGTAGTGCAACGGGGATGTTTGCCGAGGCTCAGAATTTTTGAATGCGTCGATCTTGTTTGAGGTCAAAGCTCCCGATATTTCGAGTGGCTTGCACACCGGTTTTCATGGTGTCGCCATCTCGGAGGTCCGTGGTTCGATCCCTGGCCGGGTCCATTTTTTTGTTATAATACCAAGTGACAGAAAAAACAAGTCGCGCGCCTGATGGTAAGCTACACGCCTGTCGTAACACTTGCAGTGCCACTCAGAGCTTTAAATCGCAAAGATCTGAGGGGCACTTGCACTACGCCCGTCACCTTGAGACATAAGTTGACATGTCCCATATGCCTGTAATTTCACCAGTACCCTTACCCTTCAAGAAAGACAACACACACAGTAATGCTGACATTACCTACTGCTTGCCGGCAGAAATAGGTAACGTGTACATCCCTGTGTTGTGTAGGTAGATGAGTATCTTTTAAGAAATGTTTGGTGGAGGGTAGGTTACGACATTCCGGTATAAACGTCAATCTGTGAAGCGGTGTTTCTTTGTGCTCCCCTGAATTATTAATATCCCACGGGTGTGTTCAGGATATAACAGTGGCGACGAGAAAATCAAATAGGTATCGGTTCTGTCAACGGACAATAAAATAAAGAAATAACTACAAAATGTCTATTGGGAAACTTAGTGAATTCGACATCAAGTGCGGAGTAGATCGTCTTAAAATGTACTTTAAAGTGAATAAAGTGACGAATGACATGAAATTGCCCGTGCTTATCGCGTCTATGGGTGACGAAGCGTACGAGCTGTTAATGAATTTAGCTAGACCGAACGAGCCATCTGCGTTGACATTCGAGTGGCGACAAGCGGTGGGGTACATGAGTCAGCATTTACAACCGGCACCATCGGCCTTGGCGGAGAGGTTTCGTTTCAGACAGAGTTAAAAAGATTATCGAGATATTGCAAGTTCGGAGATAGATTAAATGATAACATGCGAGATCAATTCGTATGTGGAATTAGGAGTGATATTATTCGTCAGCGGCTGTTCGCGGAGAGCGACGATGTGACCTATGCACAGGCGGTGAAGGTCGCAACTTCCCTCGAGGCGGCAGAACGGGACTCGGCTGCGGTGGAAATGAGGAGAACGCGGGAGAACGCCACCGCTGGATCAGTATAGCGGTGGCGGCGCCAGCGGGGAGTTGAGCGCGATGCATGCGCTCGTGTCAACAGGGAGCGGGCCGCGGAGTGAACGTGCTCCTGGTGGAGCGGGCTCAGCGCGAGCCAGCCAGCAGCGTGCGGGCGGCGGAGCTGACACAGCACGAGCCAGCCACCAAATTGCGGTTGGCGGAGCAAGCTTCGTTCGGAATAACAGGCTTAGCTCGAGGCCAACATTCGGGCAACAGCGTTATTCCTATTGTGGAGCATGTGGAGCACAGAACCATAATTATGCAACCTGTCGCTATAGGTACTTCGTGTGCAGCAAGTGCCAGCGCACGGGGCATTTACGCCGGGTGTGCCCAGATTGGGGAGAGGCGGAGAGAAGTGGCCTACACTTCGGACAGGCGCAACTGGAGGGCGAGATGGAGGTGGACGGGAATAACTATGACATGGAGCAAGAATTAAAACATTTGTGTTTGAACGACTTTAAGCCAGTGTTTCCATGTATATAGACAATAAACTTATCTCTATGGAGGTCGATACAGATACGGCTATTTCGTGCATAAGTAAAAAACGTATAACGAATATTTTAGTTACTGTGCTATAGAACCTGACAATACTGCTTTGAAATTCAACGTGCAACCTATCCCCAAGAAAGGAGATCGGTCTGATCCAACAAACTATCGCCCAATAGCTGTCACTTCAGTGCTCTGCAAAGTGATGGAGCGGATTCTAAATATCCAGATAATCCGGCACCTGGAACGTCACTCCATTCTTAATGATCGACAGTACGGGTTTCGACCGAACCGATCAACGGGTGACGTTCTAGCGTATCTAATGCATCTCTGGGGTGAAGCTATCGACAAACAGGGCGAAACCTTAGCGATAAGTTTGGATATTGCTAAGGCCTTTGATCGGGTCTGGCACCGTGGTCTCCTCTCCAAGCTTCCTTCATATGGTCTTCCCGGCCGCCTTTGTGAGTGGATCTCCGGCTTTCTGCGCGAGCGAAGATTGCGTGTCCTTGTTGACGGAGGCACTTCGCGGCTCGTGACAGT